ACAGCAACCAAGTGCAGGAGGCACATGGCCCAAGAAGAACGGCGAGAGGATGGGTCACGTCGTTCTCCGTTCACGAGCCCTTGCCAATTCACTAGCTTGTCAGCGATTCCTTGTTCTCTTTGTAATGCAGAAAGAAGGGAACGAGGGAAGGATGAGCGAGGATGAAGGGCGTGACCGCATCCGGGAAACCAGGCGCCAAAGCGGTAACCAGGTCATCAGAGCGTCTCGTCCTCAGGCGCACTTGTGCTTCGTTTCTATTCCTTGATTCCGGCCAAGTGCTTGGTTCGCGACCAGTCCTTGGATTCGGTATTCTATCATTGTTTTCGTCTCCGTTTTACTGCCAGCAAATTAGTACCCAACAAGTGCCACATGAGTCAATGGCGCTGAGATTTGGCCTTGTCCTTATGGTTTACAGCATCAAAACCTTGCCTCGCAGGAGGCGTTGTTTTCGGCTTTGTTTTGTTGATTTGCCTGCCAAGTCACGCGCTCAGACGCTCATAGACGCATCAAATTCGGTCGTCGTTTTTGGTTAATGGCCTCAAATCAATGCCCTGCTGCAAGGCACACTTGTTTTCGGCCCTGCTTTGCTAGTTGTCCTGCCAATTTTTTCCCTCAGTAGTGTCAAATTCGTGACAAGTTAGTTTAGTGCCACATAGTGCCAAACTAGTGCCCGACGAGCTTAAACACTCCTCCCGCTTGCCAGACTGGATGATGGTGAAAAAAGAAGACGGAGAAGATGAGCCGGGTTGCAGCCCAAAAACATCTGCTGGTTCCCCAATTGACTTCAGTTGTATGGTACGGTGCAGGAATTACCCAAACAGGTGGCTTCAGCCGTCGGCCAAACTAAGGCAGTCATGGGTTTCGTTTTGAATCCAATCTAAGGACTTGCAACAAGCGAAAGAATTTGATCTAAGCACTGGCAAACAGCTTCTAGAAACTTTGTTTTTCATTGAGGTCACAGCAAATACCTCAGATATGTTTACGTGTCTATGTGGTAATCTGTACATTCATATGTGTGAGCAGGAAAGCCAACACCTCAAAGAAAATGAATCACCCAAGTGCCAAATGAAACGCCCGAGTGCCAGATGAAACGCCCAAATCCCAGATGAAACGCCGGCTTCATGTTGGGCGCTTCAAAACTCGCCGCCACCGCGCCGCCCCGTCGCCAGGCCGCGGGGCCGTTGACACCGTCACCGAGGGCATCTTGGCGGTGGCTCCGTGGCCCCGGGCGCTGCAGGTGCTGCGGCGCGCCGTCGGCGCCCGCCTGGGCGACGCGCCTCGGACGGGAGCCGAGGGCCCTCGCGCGGCCCGAACGGACTTTGGGCAAACATGTTGGGGTTGGACCATTTTAGTGGAGAATGAACAGTTTGGACTTTGTTCTCAGCTTTTTGGAGAACTTGTTGGAAAGACCGTTCTAGTGATGCCAGGTTTGGACTTTTTGGCCAATCCATTCAGGAAGTGAGCCCCCAGCTGAGCCCGAGAGAAATACAGCTCTACAGGCGAAAAACAGGGATCTGGATCTGGATTGACATGTCTTTGCACTTTGACTAAAGATTTCTCCTTGGAATGGCCCAAGTTGAAATGAACTTCCCTTGCGTGAGGGCTTTAGGTTTCCACTTACCCAGGGTTCACTTCGTGACAAAGTCATAAGATGGTCCTCTTTGGTACCACGAGGGTTATTTCAGCCACACACCTGGGAGCGGGATCGCCGCCAGGCCCGCCGCCCGCCCAACATGTTTTATACAGAGTTGTGCGTTTGTTTTTCTCGAAACGGCAAGGTTCTGACATCTGACGCTTCAAAAAGGCAGGGTGCCTAGAAAGTGGCTAGTATCAATGGCTCTGAGCCACTTCGCAGACTTACAGGGCTTCCTCCACCTTTTCACCTTTTCAGTTTCCCTTTTTTGTCTACTTCTACGTTTTCTGGCGGTGCCCATTCTCTTTTTTGGGGGGGGGAGGGTTCCCCTAAAAGAGACTACAGAAAAAAAGTATCGGGTACCCTTAATTATTCTAACCTCTGATGCTTTTGGAGGGCCAAAAGGTCACACGTTTCTCCCCAGGCCCCTTGCAGAAGAGAGCTTCGGATCCAGAAGGTGCGGGGGTTCTTGGCCCAGGTGATAACGCTAGGTGCTGCCATCAGCGCTTGCGAAAAGGGGGAGGAGATGGGGCTGCCAATTGCCGGCTCGGCTTTTCTGGGTTTGAAAGGATCCTTGTTTTTGTTCAAATGATGGAACCCTTAACGAATGGTGGGGTTCCTTTATGCTTTCTCTTTAAAGCCAACCAAAAGTGTCCGACCAATCTGCGTGGGCCAATCCAATAGTTTTCTTCGAGGTCCAAAGACAGGGTGGGTTGAGAAGAGGCCTGGCCCCCTCGCTCGATTTGCTTGTTCCGCTGGATTGCGGACTGCCTAGGACGGAAGTTCAGAAGACCCATGTATCAGGCGACTCATGCAACGCGTTCTGATAAACAGGTCCTTGACAACCACACTTAGAACCCAGAGTCGCCCAAATATGTCCTCAGAAAGTTTCAGGAACAGGTAAATGTTTGGCCCATTTGTTTGAGCTTATCAATTGCCAATATTTTGGCAACATGTGTTGCTTGCTCAAGTTTCAGGAGTCTGCGTTTGCAAGTAAAGTGTTAGGGGTTACAACATAGAGGATTCCTTGGAATCCTGGCTTCCTGGACTGACCTATCTCTGAACAGAATGGGGACAATACTCCTAGAAAGCACACAACACTTCACGTGTAGTTTCGGGCCTTGGTTTTTGCATAAATCCTTACAGCCCTGCTGGGGTTCACGATGGTATTTGTGAGCTAGCAGTGATATGGACTTCCTAGGAGCGGTGGGAACAAGTGTAGAGATTGAAAATCGGAGACCCTTGGGGAAGCCGAGCAGTGGACATGAAGCACCAACACAAAAAACTTGAGATGTCCTAAAAGGGTTTTGATTCGAATTTCGAATTCAGATCCAGGTCAAGCCCATCCAAACCCCCAAGCTCCCCGCCTTCAAACCCCTGACACTTCCACCATTCACCAGTTGGCTTCGCTTGATCGCGAACCCCGAACGAATTCTCCAAGTTGAGGGAACCCAACGAACGAATGGCTCACGACCGAGCGTCAAAGGGACCTGCGGAGGGCCAATGATGCCGATGTGTTTCAAGACGGTCCCAGTGAAGAAAACAAAAAGGAGCTGGTTGGAACAGTTGGGTCTGAAAACAACATTTAAGCCAGTTCGATCGCCCAGCACCCCCCCAACCCCAACCCTGCCGCCAACCCTGCCCCCCAAACCCTGCCCCCCAAACCCTGCCCCCCACCCCCCCAACTTTCACCAACCCTGGTGAGCAAAAGGACCACCCCTGACTTTTGGGAAAAGGCCCCGACAAGTGCCGACTTTTGCTGTCCAGTCCTTTGAACAAGGTCCCCCAGTGCTCTTTTACCCTTTCGGGGAGGGTTCCCCTAAGATAGACTACAGAAAAAAAACTCGGGCGACTTATTCTCTCTCCACTCCACTCCATGAAGCCGTCGATAGGAGTGGCGGAGAGCCTCCCTGCTGTTGCACCGCGCGGCTCGTTTCTTCGGCGCCAACGAGATCGTCTTCAATGCGGCCATCGCCGCCTGCGAGCGCCCGGATTGCTACGGAGAGGTTTTGGGTCATTTGCCATGGTCCACCCATAAGGAGTTCAAACCATGGTTCAGCATTGCCACTAAGGGAACCGTGCAGAATTGCGATCCGTAGCATTGCAGAAGGTGCTCACCTGTATTTTCCGCAGGTGAAAAGGAATTCGCTGGCAATGGTAGGCAACCAACCCTTCTTGGTCTATATTTCGGCGTGGCTCAAAATTAAACAGGAGGGGCAAACCGCAGGTTTTGGTCCATGTTTCCATTTACCAGGGTTCCATTTTGGTACCGGTTTTTTGAGCCACAGCCATGTCTTCGTTTCTTTCTCTTGTTCTCTCTTCAGTTGTTCAGGACCGCACCTCGGGTGGTCAAGTTCAAGTTTTTGGCGATGGGGTAGATGTCTGGAATTGTTGCGCATTCATGGTCCAATGCCCCCCCCCATTTTTGCAAGGCAAGGCATTTGTAGATGTTCAAGTCTCAGTCACTTTTCTCGGGAAACATCGACCTGCGCCCAGACGGAAGTCATCATGCAGACAGCATGCAGCTTGTATGCCGTCCGACATTGCTAGACCTCCCTGTGATATTGAGGCTCATCTTGGGCTCATGTCAAGGGGGCTGGGGATGGGGTACTGCAAAGCCAAATCGTGATCCGATAGGTCCCCCAGTAGTGCCCTTTTCCCCTTGTTTTGGGGAAGGTCCCCCTACTAAAATAGACTACAGGGAAAAAATCGGGTACCCTTATTCCAACCTCTCCACTGGAGGACCCAGATTGGCACGGTGTGTTCCTGGCCCAACTCTCGTCGTTCGAAGCCAAGGCAGGGCCAGCACGCCCTCGGACGAATCCACGCGAATCCGCAGGAACTCGTGCAAGAGCCGGCGAAAAAATGCCCCGGGCTGTCGGCACGTGCGGGTTGGGGGGGGGGGGGGGTTGGGGGGGGGAATGGGCACACCTGATTTCGACACCCCACAAACCATAAAACACCAATACCCAAACAAAAAGAGGTTGCAAACAGAGACCCACAGTTTCCATACTGTGGATTGACGAAATCCTGCACCACCTAAGACACCCTGGAATGATAATTCCCCTGTAAATACCATGGTTTCAAAGTGGTGCGAACGGATTTCCTCCATCCACAGTAGTTCCGAGTGTGTCACAAACCTCCTAAAAGGCTGTTGTTGTGTTTTCTTTCTGGAACTTTGGTGTTGGTGGACTTTTGTGTGCCAAAAGTCCCCACACAAAATGCCAAACGACCCCACACAAACCCCGGGTGTTTTTGTTGGTGTCCTAAATGGGTGCGGGTTTTTGGACTTGTGCCCCAAGAGGCTCCCCACCAAACTGCGGTGGTCTTGGAGGTCTTCCGTTCCCCGCCGCATTTCTCTTCCGAGGGCCTCGGTGCTTGGCCTCGCGGAGGCGGGGCCCGGCGGAGGGCGGGAGGGCGGGAGGGGAGCTCAGCTCGGCGCGGTTTTTTGTGTTTCTTCGGTTTCGTTCGCCGGTGAAATGGGTGAAATACACGGGAGAGTGGTGAAATACACGGCAAACAAAGGATTTCCTGCAAACTTGCTTTTAGTTCTTCTTTTTTCTGTGGCTCGCCAGGAAAAAAAAAAGCGAGCAAAAGCCGGAGATACAGAAAAAGTTATTTTTGGTAAGTGGTGAAATGATTACTCAGCAAACACCCAAGGATGCGGAATGTCCTGGCTTCTGAAAAACATAAACGGAAGGTCCTTTACTTGGGGATCCCATTCTTTCCGTTTTTTTGTGAGGGCAGCGACGCACGGCAGAGGAGCTTTGGTCGTATAGAATCCAGTTTAGTTTGGAAGGGTCTATATGGGTTTTTGTGAAACACCCTGGGAATACACCCCTATTTAGGCACATTTCCGGATAAAACCGTGTTATTTTGAACCATTCTGGGTCATTTCCCGAAGGAAGGGGCGTTGAACAAAGGAAGACGGGGGACTCACTTTTTTTTTTGCGTGTCAGTATGAGAACCTCTCATTTTGACCGCTATGGGGTTGTTTCAAAGTGAATTCCTCTTTAGATGGGAAACAGGAGCAATTTGGTGGGATATCCGTAAAGGAACCCTCGAAAGCAAGCTAGGTATTTGATTCGCTACCTTAGGTTGGGATGGGAGCCGTGTAGCTTCTCGTTTCTTTTTTGTACAGAGTTGATGGTGGAGCTGTTTTTTGAACATGGAATGCACCAGAGTCAATCAGACTTTCCCCGCGGATGTTTTTTAAATTAGATGGGGTCATGAGGACCGACCAGTGAGCGGCGCTCAATACCCTTTCTAGCCGTTTTAGCCGGTGGTTCTAGGTGGTTAGTAGGGGATCATAGTATGGCGGCATGGCTCACACAAAGATCACACAGTTTCTAGCAACACAGTTTCTACCTGGTTTAATAGAAAGGAAAGGAAATGCAATTGGTTGGCAGAAGTTCAACTGGTCTCACAAGCAGATCCAAGTCGGTCGAAAGGAAGTTCCAGTTTTGGGTGCAGCTTAAGCGCCTCTCTCCTCTTCGGGCGGAGGTTTCCCGGTATGGGCTGCAGAGAGAGAGAGAGAGAGAGAGAGAGAGAGAGAGAGAGAGAGCGAGTGGGATCTAGGTTTCCGGGCCTTCGATATCCAAAAAATGTTTTTCTCCCCCGACTGGTAGGTCTCCGGCCCTTCGATATATTCATACTCTAGGCCTTCGAATTGGTAAAAAAGAAATGGTCGTGGTGCTACAAGGTGAACATGGCATTTCCTGTTCGTTTTTGGCAGCGACCGGGACCCTTCAAAGCCAACCGCTGGTCATTACAGATTTCCTGGCAACTCAAGGGCTTCCATGTGGAATCGCGCGTCCGAGATGCTGCAGAGGAAGAGAGAAGGCAGAGAAAGAAGAGAAAACCGAGAGGGAAGAGATCGAAGAGACAGATAACAGAGAGAGAGAGAGAGAGAAAGAATCCGAAGCACCCCCCGGATTCAGTGTGTTTTTCTCCTAGAAGGTACCAAACCCCGTGTCTTGTTTTCTCTCAATTGCGCCATATCTACGGGCGGCGGTTCTCCTTCACCTTGGGGCGGCGGTTCCTTGGAGGATTCTGTTTCGCGAGGTCCCGGTGCCGTTTTTTTTCCCTGCGCCGTGTGTCTTGCAACGATCCAGAATTCCCAACCCCATCTTTTTGTCACACCTGATCTTAGCGTACATACTATATAAATGTTGTATTATGGCATGTTATTGTACATCAAATCATGTTGTATTAAATGATGTTACTATTATTCCTATGATTCCTATGATTCTTGAGTTATAATTATTGTGTTTATTGCCATTCTCATTGCGGTATACATACATATATCTATATACACGGTCGATCGGACTGTTCAGAACACCGGTCTAACTTCTTGCCTCAGCGAATGTCTTCGGACGCGGACGGACCTTTCTCGGCTGCTGAGGCGCCGGAGGCGCCTGGGAGCCTCTGGGTCACCGAGGCGCGGAAGTCTTCTTTATTTTCCAGTTGTCTCTCCCGTTGGAGGTGAGGCGGAAAGACGAGATGTAGGGGGAAACCCCTTGGTTAAGGGCTTAAGATGTAGGGGGAAACCCCTTTGAGCCCTCCCCCCCTCCGCCCAAGTTTATTGAGTTTGGGGAGCGGTCTTGGCCCTAAAAGTGGTCTGACCTTTTTTCTCCTTTTGGGACCCGGGGAGAAGCGCCTATGAAGAAACTTGTTTTTTTTGCTACTGACACCCTTGGTTCCTCGGGCCTGGGGAGGGATCCTAAGAGCCTGGTTGAGGGCTCTACTCCTCTCCCGGCCCCTTGATTGGCTTTCACAGGTTCGGCAAGCAGCGAAGCAGCGCAGGTCAAACAGGTTGGGGCTTGGAGAAAGCAGGAGGCTTCCTTTCAGGCCCCGAATCAATCCGAGGATTTCACGAGCTCACAGATGCCGGGCTAAAACAAGCTCACCCATCATGTAGGGTCTTTGAATGGAGATCCCCGTGCTAGCTTAGAAGAGTTATGCCGAATGCAGCTGTGCTCCTCTGCGCGAGCCAAGGAAACAGCTTTTCGGACGTTTGCTGAATGCTAGACTGAAGGCAAGTACTGTGGATGGACGAAATCCATTTCGCACCATCCCAGGAACCTGGATGATTCCCCCTGTAAATACCAACTAACAAAGGTGTTTCATAGTTTCAATGTGGCGCGAAATGGATTTCGTCCATCCACGGTAGGTTCAGGGATTTTGGCTCAGGAGCTGCTTGCAAGGGACATTCAAGAGGACCCAGTCTTTTTTTGACGGCGGGTCATATGGGTGTGGTGTTGAGGGCATCCTTCAAATCGATTTAAAGGGAAGCCGAAAGGCACATCAGCATTGCCCCTGTTGCTTGCAGATCCTCCCGTGGCTTGCGCATATAGATATATATAGTACAGCGTTGCCAGTCCCCCCCCCCCCCGCCCCCCAATGGTCATGGGTCAGACAAGTACCCCCCCCCCCCCTGTGGTTGTGGTCCTGTGTTTGGGTTGTGGTGGTTTAGGGTTGGTTTAGAATTGGTTTAGGGTGTACTTAGGGTGTATTTAGGGTTAGTTTAGGGTTGGTTTAGGGTTGGTTTAGGTTTAGAGGTTTACGGTTTAAGGGGGGGTGGCAACACGGAACACGGGACCATATATACATATACTTGAGGAAGACTTGCCGCCGGGCGTGCTAAGCCATGATGGTGTGCATTGCCCGGTTTCAAGGGTGTGCATGGCTCTGTGGCTTTTGCCAGACTTGACTCACCTCGACTTTTCGACCCTTGCCCTCTTCATTTTCCCTATCAGCAAAGAGGTCGGCGGTTTCCGGGCCTGAGCCTAAGTGAATTCACAGGCGCTGAATCAATCTGACCATTTCACGGCGAGCTCAAGAGATGCGGGGCTACAACGAGCTCGCTAAGATGTAGGGCAATGGCCATGACCTGAAAAAACGGAAGGCTCTGGAGGACTTGTCTTGAATCAACATGGTTGTCGTTGGGAAACATTTTGCATTTTTGCTTATTGTGGTTTAGTGGGAAATCCCCACTTGACAGCTAAAATTTAAATTTTTGCTCCCCTTCCAACGTCAACCATGTCAAGGCGTATAACCAACTTTGTTTCTGCCCGTGGTTTTTGTTGTCCGTGCTTTGCTTGCCTAGTGCTCTGGAATGAGCGCAACAAGAAGCCCACATTTGCTTGGGTGTCTGGGATCTCTTTGTCATGATGTTACATTGTAAGGTGTACGGACCAGAATCAGGCATGCTATTTTGGGCTGAAGCAAAAGCCGCAGGGGGCGCCTTCTTTCGTGGCGCGGAAACGGAAAACCACAGCTCGGCCTTTGGGTAGCCCACTGACCATGCAAGATTCATGGCCCTTGGAGTTTAATGGCGACCAGGCAGTCACTAGGCTGCAATAGCTCGTGCGGTTTGTGTCAGTGGAACCATGTTTAGACGATCTGAAGCTGGGCCAAATGGCTAGTAGTTATAACCCTCTTAATTCCCATGACTGTAAATTCCCTCCGGGGGTCAGCTATCGTTACCAAAGGGTTGATATCCATTCAGCTTCGACTCGGAGCATCGAAGCAGGTATGCCCATACGGATTTGGGTTTGAAATCCCTAAAGCTGCTGTGAATTTTGGATAGGGAACCACCTTAGTCTAGGTCCCCCAGTAGTGCCCTTTTACCTTTTTTGGGGGAGGGTTCCCCTACTAAAATAGACTACAGAAAAAAACATATCGGGTACCCTTCTTCTAACCTCTCAAATCTGGAGGACCTAGTAGTAGGTGGATGAATTTTCAGAACACGATGGCCACGGGAAGGCTGGGGAGGCTACCAGACCACGGCAAGGCTACCCAAAACACCACAGGAAGGCTGGGCTCCGGTTCTTAGCGCGGGCGCATCCCAAGTCCGAGCCCCAAGTGGGGCGGCTTCGATAGGCCAAGGTGGCGGTGGTGGGGGGTACGGAGCTGCCGCTGCTGACGGCAGCTTTGGACCTGGCGCCGGCGCCCCTCGGATCCAGGTGGATGGTCGCGAACTCCATTCAGCACCGTTCAGAAACCATGGTTGAAGCCATTGTTCCTTCCTGGGACCCCATATGGCCGCTGTTTTTAGGTCATACGCCTTTGACCGAGAAAAATGGCCACACGGATGTTTACGGATTTTGTTCAACAGCATGTCAAACAAATACGGGTTTTATACCGGTGATTTACGCAAATGACCGGAAAAAACATGGCCATACAGGCAAATACAGCCAAATATGGGAGTTTGACCGAAACAAAAACAGCCATACGGGGTGCCAGGTCGGTACTGTGGATGGACGCAATCCATTTCGCACCACCTAAGAAACCCTGGAATGATGATTCTCCTGTAAATGCCAACAAACAATGGTTTTCGATGGTTGCAAAGTGGTGCGAAATGGATTTCGTCCATCCACAGTATTTCCAGGGGAATCATCAAATATTTGTGCAAGATATGCCCTTCTGTGGACCCCCCGTGGTAGCTTTTTCGCGGGGGCCAAGGAAACAGTTGTTTTTTCTCCAGGAAGGCAAGGAATAGTTGAACTGCTGTGGACGGTTGCGAACTCCATTTCGCACCACCGTTCAGAAACCCTGGAATTTCTGATTCGATTCCCCTGTAAATACCAACGAATCATGGTTTCAAAGCGGTGCAGGATTCTGTCCCACAGTAGGGCGTGCCTTTTGACGCGGCTTGGGTCGTCCAGGCTTCGCTTTTTCTGGGTGGCTCCCAGCCATCCGGTCCCTTAGCTTTTTAGCCTTTGGGTGTTTAGTGGTAGTTTCCGAATTTAACCCACTAAAAGTTATTCACTTTTAGCGGGGGATCTGAGGGCAGCGCAGTTGTCCAAGCCCGAAGTTTCACCCCTCAAAGCAAACGGACCGTAGCCCCTTTTCGGATCTGCTCCCCGTCTAGAGTAGATTCCGTGTATGTGCACTCTCGCGAATTTTCCGCTTCCGATTCGGTTTCTCAAACTACCACAAAGAACCCCAACATCCCAAACCTCTGGCTGGTGCGATAGGTTTTTTGTATGGGGGAATGAACCCAGGCCTTGGTCCCCTTGAAGGAAACCACGAGTTGGATGGTTTGTAAGGGTCATTCCTTCATTCCCTGCTGAGCACCAGCAAGTCTTGAGCAAATCATTGACAAATCATTCCTCGTACACGTCGTGAGTCAAAACGGTGTGAGCACTCGTGAAGGACAAATGGCCTGAGCGCAGAGATTCAAGTAGAGCCCAAAAGGATCAATGAGATGTTTGCGCAGTTCAAATGATTTGGGGTCGACCATCCCACTTGCCTCCCTGAATTCGGTGGTAGCCCTCCTCAAACTGGGAAACATGGCCTTGCAGGCCGACCAAACCGCAAAAAAGTGATTGGAACGATGAAGCTACACTCAGACTCTCAGAAGATTTGTATTTGACCCCCAATGAGCTCCACTCACAGTTCGCAAGCGCGGGCAATTTGTGCTTTTGCGGGATAGCTCTTTTTTTCCCCACCCAGCCCGCCTGTCAGATGGTTACTGGGTGTTCACAAAGTTCGCCCAGCCGTTCTTACCTGTTAAACGTGGATCAAAGGGTTGGGTTTATACAGGAAAATCTTCAGGAAATGGCCCCAACACACCGTAAATCAGCTGTTTTCCCGTAGAATGTCCTGTAACCCAACCCCTTGAATGGCGCCAACCTCGCGCGCGACAGCGTCGATTGAGGACAGATGGTTCGCTGGAGGTCTCGGAGAATGACCAGTTCGAGAACGAAGTGCGCCTCGCTCGCAGGACATTTTTTTGCAGGAGTTGGGTGTTCCATATGGAACAAAAATACCAGGGTCCCAGTTTGGGTACTTTCGCACCAACTAAGATGGAAGTGCAAAAAGGCCCTTTCCAAGAGGAAAGTAGTCGTTCCACAGGGGTTTGTGTACAAACTCATGTGAGCTGGTGGGAGGATACCAATTTTTGACGTTGGGCTTCCTCTTTTTTCAGGGGACCCCTTCAAAAGCCAAAGGCAACCACTGTTTCTGGGGGCCTGCTGGAAAATGACGCCCAATTCGCGACCTCGCAAAAGGGTGTTCCTTTGATAGGTCCCCCAGTGCCCTTTTACATCCTTTTTGGGGGAGGGTTCCCCTACTGAAATAGACTACCGGAAACAAAACATCATGAAAACATCGGGTACCCTTATTCTAACCTCTCTACTGGAGGACCTAGAAGAGGCATTTTTTTGTATGGACGCATTTCTGACGCTTGCTCGTGGCACAAGTGCCTTTCGCATGTCCATCCATAGCGTTACCATACTTGTTGCATGCATGAGCACAGGTTGGACACAACGAGTGTCAACGGTTTGCTTCAATGGTGGTCAATCCTGTAAACCCAGCGAGCACAGATTGGTGTTGCTTTTGGAGCGACCACCAGGGAATTGCATTCATTTGGCCGGAATCCCTCCTAGTAGCACCCCGGGTATATGGATGGAATATTTGACAAGCGTGGCTGGCTTCGTGCAAGACCGGATATGCATGGGCTGCACAGGCATATGCAGACCATGCAACAACCCAGGGTTTACGGACTGATGAAGCATCCCCAACAGCTACATCTTCCTAATCTACCTTGAACGTATGCTTGACTGAAATTTCCCCAAACTAGTCAACCGAAAAAGGATTCGGGTCCAAAGCGTTCCGGGGACATCTTCCCAGCTTCAAGATGAGCTGGGGATTCCCAAAGTTTGCCTTTTGATTCCCCATGATTATTTGTGGCAATTGCACGGGCTCACCCATGAGGTTGTGTGGAGGCGTCCCTCCGTTTCAGTTTTTTTTTGAGAATGGGAATCATCCTGGAATTATTCTCTAAATATTGTCTTCCCGTACTTTGGGACTTAGAAGGCCTCATTACGGGCTCATTTGGGCTCAGCCCCCAGTGGAGGTTCACGATTCAGCTACAGGACACGCCCACAGAAAGTTCCGTGGCTCTCGGGGTGTGCTTTCGAGGTGTGCCACTTTCTGTGAGTGGCCACGAGCATCCTCTTGGCGACAAAATACTCATGGGAATCAATCACTGTAGTATCGCAGAAAGTGTCGGTGATGTTCCACAATCGTTTGACCCCGTAGCAACTCAAGCGGGTTTTGGAGCTGTTCTGGAGACTGTGCTTCCCCCAGCAGCTTGGTTCCTTGCAGGGATGCAAGGGGAAGCTTGCTGCGTCTGCTGGGTCGTGGTGGTGGTGGTGGTGACGATGGTCTAAGTACTTTCCTGCAGATTGACTTCGAAGCATTATACTTCAGGAGCTTGCCAATTGCGGACTCCAGAGTCCTCAGAGCCACATAGACCACTATGATGCCGAAGAGATGCATTTGGTACGCGCTGCTCGTTTCTTTCTCTGCCTCATTTGGCGAAAATCCATCGGTTAAGTTAGCCAGCAAAGCCAGGCATGAGGAAACATTCCATGCGAACATCTATGCTCATCGTTGGTGCATTTTGCCAAGGGATGCTAGGACTTTAACTTTTTGCCAACTAATGGGTTTTCCCTATGACACCACGAAAACTGTTGTTCACTTTTAGCAGGGCTTCGCAGATTTCGCCACCGAGTCATCGAACAGTTGGAATTTGCAAATCCGCTTTATGCTTGGTCCGGTGCGGACCCCGAGCGCGGACCCGCGTGGGAGAGATCAAAGTTTGAGCCATGAGAAGACGTCAAGACGTGGAGGGACTCCCACTGCCCAATTCCATAGGATTCCCTTTGCAGCTCTGAGGAATTCCGCTAACGGAACTTTTTAGGAGGTTACATCAGAACCCCTCTCAGGGTTTCTGGGAATACACCCGCTGGGTATTGACCCCATTTAGGCACGTTTCCAGATATAACCGTGTTGAACCATTCTGGGTCATTTCGCAAGGGTGTAATCCCAGCATGAAATACAAAAACCCTCAGAACCCACCCCCACCTTCCCCTCCCCCCAAGGGAACCAGATCTCCCGGGGCTCGCCATTGGGCCGAGGGCCAGGGAAAAATGAGTGAGCGCTTGCGCTCGCGCGTGCTGAGGACGCTGAACTATGACTGCTGGCAGCCAGGCGGGACGGCGGACGGCGGGACAGAAGCGAAGCGGTGAGGCTGGTTGCCCTGGAAGATGAATGCAGAAAGACGAGTTGGGGGTTCCCAAAAGAAGTTTCGTCTACAAATTCATGTTTGTTGGCATTTCAATCTTGAATGGCTAGGCAGGTTCCATGCAACACTTGAACCCTTGCTGTTTGCGCAGACTTCTTTGCTTCGGCTGCCGACCTCGTAAACAAGATGCCATGGGTCTAGGGATTGATTCCCCATTATTTTCAAGCATTGTTCTTTTCAAACACCGGATCTGTTTTCCCTAGGTTTTTCATGGTTTCGTGAAATTTTTCAGGATCCCTGGGTTCAGAATGGAAATGGAAGGCACCCCTAGAATATAGAGGGCCCAGGTTTAGCTGGTGGTGGTGGTGGTTCAATCATCTACCAGGGCCATCTATTTTCCAGAAAGGACACCTATCCATGGGCACGGATTTTTCCTTTGCTTTTCGGCCCGAGATTTTGCCAAACCGGAAAAAAACGCCCTCGATCCATCCTCGCGAATCCGTCTGAGCCATGGCCTCCGGACGCGTGTACAACTTCTCGGCGGGTCCCAGCGCTATGCCGCTGGAGGCGTCGGCATTCGGCGTGACGTCCGTAACGGAAGCTGGAGATCGCCATGTCTTGTACCTTTGGTGCTTTTTCCCCTTTTGTGGGGACAAGTAGAAAAATGCAATTGGGACCCCCCCCTTGCCCCTCTCCCTTTAAAGTGGGGAAGGGCGGGGGGTTTGCTTCGATCCCCTTCGATCGGCTTGCAGCGGCCGGCTTTGGTTTCACCCGACCCATCGTTTTGGTTTCCGCAAGAAGAGGTCCAGTTTCCAAAAAAAACCACTGAAACAAGAGGTTCATCAGCTTCGCAAACGAGGCTTGTTTCATGGCTGATGTGGTTACCTGGTTCGCGCAGGTTGCCTACGTGGCACCGTCCGAGTGGGGAGCCAAACAAGGTCCGACATTGAGAACAAGTATGCGAAGTAGAATCATGTCTTCTTGTTTAGGTTAAAGCAGGAGATTTTGTTTTTGACCACTGCAATTGAGGTCTCAGCTTCTTTGGGCAATACAACGTCATTCTGATCCCAGGATTCCATTTGCCTATATAGTAGGCAAGAGAAATGGCTGTTTACCTCCCATGGGAGCTGGGATCCCAGGCATTGCATGAGGGGTGAGCGCTTACTTTGCACTCACCGTTAAAGAGCGCAGTTTTCATTTTGAAGATGCACCTTGTCTTTGCGAAGCACAACTTGTAGCCGATATTCTGCGAACCTGGTCACAGGTTGCCATTCGGTTGGGATGTCGGTCGCCTTTCTATATTCGCAAGTCGCAATTTCACACACACACACACACACTGGCTTGGCTCAACAGCAAACACTATTACGGTCGTCCACCCCAAGCCTCATGCACGTTGCTTTCACGATCCACGATGTGATTTTGTGATATGTTCCAAGGTGTGTTTCTGGCAGACCTCGCATGCATTGAAGGGGCAACACAAGTTCATAGGACCCAAACCCCTTCTCCCTGGAGGAACCTCCAAGGCAGACCAAGGCATAGGCTGCGAGCTGGAAGTTGGGTTTAGCTCGGGAAACACTGGGACGCTTCTCCAAGTTCGTTCACCCTCCACGTTGCCATGGAACCTGACTGAAGGGTCCTGGTTTGGACCATGTTCCTAGATGCACCCTCTTGTGAGTGCCATGGCAACGCGGGAGGAAGGGTACTTAGAGGGGCAGAGTACTTAGTAAGTGGTTGGTAAGCCTCGGTTAAAAAACACACACACACACACACACTGAACGGAGACTTATACCCATGGTAAGTGGGTTATAGCCGTGGTAATATCCACTTACCTCCCGTGAAGTAACAGTAATGGTCCACTTCAGTGCCATCCACTTCTCCAACTTCTCTAGTGCCTCCACTTTCACACTGTAGTCTCTGAGGGTGGAAGTACATGTCCCTTGTTCATGCCAGTTCCTTGGCTTCTCTGGTGAGACCAACCCACTTTCTCAGGGGAGGGAGAGCCCCGCTTGGAGGTACAAGAACTGAACTCAGACCTGGGGAGAGGATATGAATTATGAACATCAGGCCCCTCTTTTGGGTTCATTTGCCCAAAGATGTAAAAGGGGTATGTACAACCCCTGGATTTTAGTTAGGGCCCACATAATTAGAACGTCTCGTACTTGAAAACCCAATACAAAGGTCACTGGATTTCCCCCATCAGGGTGGAAGTTCCTTCCCCTTGCTCATATTGGCTGCCCTGGAAACCCCAACCCACTTGAGGGCTATATTTCCCCCCCCTTCGGAAACAGGAGAGGAGATGAATTCTGGTTACCTCCGGGGGGTTCGGCAGGCCCAAGCAAGGGGGGGGGGTACGAGAACTTGGGAGGTGCTCGAGGAGGTGCAGAAGGAGATGGTGAACTTCAAGGGCTGCGGCATGAGCAGCTTGGGCCAACTTGGGCCATGCGGATGCAGGTCTGTACCCTTCCCCCAGAATTGTGCCCTTCTCTAGCGTTTCCTTTTTTGGTTGGGAGGGTTCCCCCTACTAAAATATACAGAAAGAATCGGGCAAGTACCAACTTATTCTAACCTCTCTACTGGAGGACCTAGGCTTGGGCCATCTTGGGCCATCCTGGGAACGGCACGGGCGGATGCAGGTCTGATGTGGATGCGTGGACTTTTCTTTTGCCGCTACTTTTTTTGGGTGGGTCTAAAGCGATACCAAGAGGGGTGAGGTGTGTTTTGCCGCTACCTTGTTTTGGCTGGTTCTGTAAGGGATACCAAGAGGAAACCCCTCATTTTTTTTGGGGGGGGTTCCCCGGTTTTGATCCACATGCCCTTATTTTGGCGTTTGACTTGGCTAACTGGGGTGTTTTGAGACATTTTGCATACTGGACCAGAATAAAACATATACTTTGTTGGTTGTTTGGCAAAAGCTGATTTAGCTCAAGGCTGGCTGACGCTTACTTTCCTCGTGTCCACGCCGCGTCAAGCGAACTGGACAATTGTCGCGTCGAGATTCGAGATGCTTTAGAGCTGACTGAACGAAGATACATATCTATAATCTTCCCCAGAATGAGTTCCCCTTTTTGATCTTTTTGATCTTTTCGGGGCCCCCTTTGTTTTCCCCACCAACCAGGCAAAGCACTTGTTTTTTTTTGCTTTTTTTTTTTCTGGGGGCAAACGAGTCCGGCCAAGGAAGCCGCGTTGGTCCAAGACGTCCTTTTTTTTCCCAACAAGTCGCACGGACCTGGAAGTGAGGCCCAAAGAAGAGGCGCCTGAGTGAACTACACACGGCACCCGGGAGGAAGCTGAGACACAACAAGTCTGAAACCTAAGTGGGGCAAAATTCTGACAGTGTCGCTGGAGAGTTGCAGCAAATACAAGGCAAGAACAGGAATCCACTCAGCAACTCTGGAATCAACCATCTGCTTGTGAGAGCAACATGAGTGAGTGGAGTTTGTTTGTGCATATGTTTCAAACAAATACAATTCCGCTCGCTCACTGTCCATCCGCAAAGCGACTTCCTTGCTTCGAACCAGCTTCGGAGCCACGAGCGAGATGTGCATCAAGCTGTCCCAAGCAGTACACACACACACATGCACATGGTGAGTGTTTGTGTGTGTGTGTGTGTGTGTGTGTTTGCTTGCTTGTTTGCTTGCTTGCCTGGTTCGCTCTCGTGGATTTTTACACACTTTTGTGGGGTACTCGGAGTCTTTACACACGAGCAGAAGCTGGTTGCTTGTTTTCTTGATTGGGTGGTTCTTTGCTTGTTTGCCTGTTTGCCTGTTTGTTTTGTTTTGTTTGTTTGTTTGGTTGGTTTGGTTTGGTTTGGTTTGGTTTTGTTTGGTTTGTTTGGTTTTGTTTTGCTCTCAATGTGTGTAGAAGGGCGGTTGGGCCAGTTCCACGAGCCCGGCAGCATGAGTTCTGCGGGAGGAGCAACGACGAAGCGTGACCATCCTCTGAGCAATACTGTGGATGGACGCAATCCACTTCGCACCACCTAAGAAACCCTGGAATGATGCGATTCCCCTGTAAATACCAAGAAAACAATGGATTACCATGGTTTCAAAGTGGTGCAGGATTTCGTCCATCCACAGTATGACTTGGTTTGGTTTTTGAGTACCCTACGACCAGTGGGTTGCTTCCTTTTTGAAGCTTGTTCCTGCTTTTCGCGGGGATCTGCCTTTACAAAATCAACTACCCCAACATCTTGCATGGAAGCCTCCAAACTGGCGGTTCCCATTTAATTTGCCAACCCGAAAAAAGCCGAGCCGCCCATTCACCGGGCGCCCCAGTTGTTTTCCCAAGCCGCCCGAGGCGTCATGGAGATGTCGCACCGCTCCAAGGAGTTCATGGCCATCGCAGCTGAGGCGCGGATGGCAAGTCGTTCCTAAACTTCCATTTGGCTTCCTTTGGTGCATTTTGCCAAGGGATGTTAGGACTTTAACTTTTTGCTAACTAATGGGTTTTCTACTAAACCACTAAAAGTTAAACTTTTAGCAGGGGAGCAGAAAGCAACCGAGTTTCCTTTGGTTAAGAAGCGCCCGTTGGTTTCCCTTTGTCCACCAAAAAGCTTCAAAATCCGGCGATGGATGCCGCGGAGTTTGTTTCTTCTTCGCTGGGGTTTTGAGTCGTTCCTAAACGCATGGGATCGATCGCCGTCCACTCGTGGCATCTCCAAATGGTAAGGGTTTATTCATCCCGGGTCAAGAGGAGCTTTGCGGTAGGAGTCATAGGATTGGGTTCCCTGCTTCCGTTTGGTCAAACGAATATTTTTCCCCTGTTGGTTTTAAAGGGAATCGATTTTCACTACTGGACTTTTTTTTTCAAGGGGACTTAAGCAAATGGAGGTAAAGGTGGCAGGCCCGGCCGTTCGGTTCAACTTAGCACGAAAGATCTTGATAGTGGGTTTGCTGGTTGGGTTTCCCAATGTAACCCACGAAAAGTAAAACTTTGAGTGGGGATTCCCTTTCATGTTGACACCATG